TCTATTTGATTTCTATGGGACTTTGGCGACGAGGTGTGTGCATCGGTGCGGTTTAAGGACGGGCCGGGCACGAAGGTGGATATTGGGGCTCCAGATTATGCTGTCATCTTCTTGAATTGGGCTGGGTATTTCGCTGGACACCTCTTGATATATGTAGTGTGGCTTAAATGTGGTCTGGGCGATTCAGGTTGTCCGTCGAGATGGCGTTCAATTCTCGTCTTAAGTTTCTGATGGATGCTTGATGGCACTTTATTTACGACGTAGTACATGATGGCTGCGGCTACCAGAGCGACGATGATAATTGTTAAGATTTCTCATGTGTAGTATTTCAAATCTTCCTGCTGCAGTTTGGTTGTGGTTGATGTTGCTCCGTAGGCGTTCTGGGCTATGACTACCTATTTGTTCTTTCGACTAGCTTTTTCTCATCTTTGTATTTCTTGTACTTGAGCCTTCTTTCTTGATTTCTTAGGACTTCTTTCTTGAGGTTTCTCTCTTGATTTCAGTGGATTTTCGTCATATCCGGGATTATGTCAATTCGGTAATTAATATCATTATTAATTAATTAATTCTTCATTTTTCTTTCTTTTTTTAGATAACTTTTGCAGGGCCGTGGCAGTGCGCTTTCATTGTTGCAGTAACGGTAGAAAATATGTGTTCTACTGAAATGTTGGTGCGAGGCGACCCCCTAATCACATATACGGACATCGAAAAGATTGTAAGCATTCGTTTGGGGAGTATTCATACCATCCTATATCAACATCTTGGAGTGAGGAAGCTTTGTTGTCGATGGATCCCTCGTTTGCTCTCCGAAAGCGAAAAACAGACTCGTGTGGATTGATGTCATGAAATGCGTCTACGTTTTGAAAATGCGGCATCTAGGCATGTTTCAGAAATAATTAGTGGTGACTAAACATGTATATATCCATATGATCTGGAAAATAAAAGGCAATCATCGGTATGGGTCTATTCAGAAGGACAGTTACCGACAAAACTGCAAAGACCTCGTAACGTCAGCAAAAAAAATTGAGGCTAGTTTCTTTTCGCGGAGCGGACGTTTGTCGACGTCAGTGCTGGAGAAGTCAGTCAACTCTTAATAGTATACTACAGTTGCATTACCCAAAGCTTTTCAAGCTATGCGGGAGATAAGACCAAAGACCGGGTATCGGGGAATCATGCTGCATCACGATAATGCCTCTTCACTTTTGTTCTAAGGGAGGTACCCTTAGAACAAAAGCATTTATTGAGGAATTTTGTGTTGAAACTCTAAATCAACCACCCTTCAGCCTTCAGACAAAGAAAAAAAGGCAAGTTTTTTTTCAAGCGCCAAAGAAGCCGTAGTTGCATTCGAAGAAGAGAAGCATACGAAGAATAAGAAGAAGCGATTCCAATCTGTCAGATCAAGACTAGAAAAAGTGTTTTCAGAGTTGGTTTACGCGAATGGAACTTTGTATAGAGCATGATGGAGAATATTTTCTAATAAAGTAAATATTAATAGTATCTAGAATACTTTTTGCATATCTCAAAACTTATTGAGTTTCCTACGTAGCGGGTGAGGTGAGGACTCGGTTTCACATTCAATATAATCTAATATAAGGAAAGTTTATGACTAGTTCAAGTTTCTACATTAGTTTAACTTTCCATCTCTGTAGAATAAAAGCTGGCTTAATGTGGACAAGTTTGAATAATACCATCAAGAAATAGGCTTAAAATTACGCGAACAGCGCAAAATTGCGAGGCGGACTTTACGATTTTTTTTACTCCAAATCTAGAAATTTTATATATTACGTCACACCTAGGTCAAAATTTATTTTTGTCAATAAGTTTTGTTTTGATTTTATCTTTATTTTTTATTCATCACTATTCAGGTATAATAAGAAGAAACAGTTTCTCAATTTTTATACTACATATGAGCGAACGAACTACAGACACGGTGCTTTCTTACGATTGGTAACATAAGAATTTGTTTCACATTGATTATTATTGAAAATTCATTTTAATTGTACTTACGATGACATTTCAAGCTTCCCATTTCCAGTATAATAAGGCAAACAGCACCACGCTGGACCAGCTCATACCGAAAATGAGTAGTCTGTTATTTCATCGTGCGTAGGTCATGATATTTTAAACAGCTTCATTTCTTTTAATACATCGACGTTCAGAAATTTTTTCCCAAGAATTCCGAGGCACGTTAATATGAACATTATCATTCAAGTTCATTGACTCAAAATGGCACTACTTACGCCGATCACTAGCTCTTGTCTGGCCTCATGTCTACCATTGGCATACTTAGGTGGACTCGAACAGAACTTAACGTCCCCGAATAGAAAATTAAGCAGTACCATGACATCCCATAGGATGCATTATCCAAGATTATCATTAGAAAGGCTGTACTTACCGCAGAAGCATAGTGATCTTACCTTTTTGAGTGCTTTCACAAAATTAAGAAGTGTGCAGCCTCCGCTATTACTTCTTGACGAGATCGGATGATCCATTCTACCAGGACGTCATTGCGTATGCTAAAGAGCTTATCCCTCTATCCTTAGCCAACGAGCATTTCCAACCGGGAGCCCTCATGGAAGGAGAAGGAGCTCTATGGAAATTTCTATAAGGCTCTACATGAACCTTTCATAGACACAGCTGCCTCCCTACACTGGCTACGTTTCTGTGACCTTTTTTGAGAAGCCGAGGGTTTTCTTTGTGCATTAAAAAACCAGGTTATTTATACCAACAACTATTGGAGATACATCCCAAAAGATGGCACCGTCGACGTCTGTAGAGCTTGTCACCATCCCACTGCACAAAAACAGCATATTATCCAGGATCTAACACCAGGAGGTCGCTCTGAAATTCGTTTCCGTGGATCTGACTGCCTTATTATAATTACTTACCGAAAGCTGAGCTCTAAAATGACCGCACCGGGCTCTACTTGGACCGGGCCATCATCATAACAATTCTTGCGAATAAGGCTTATATTGTGCTGATGAGAGAGATCACAGTCAAAGATATTTTTCGTTGACATTAGTATTCCGTATGACGAGAACATCGTGAATGTCGAAACAAATAACCGACCAAGCAATTTTACTCGAAAGAAAATATTCTTCAAAAACATCAAAATTATTTTGATGTATAACATAAACATTTAGCATCTCTTAAAGATAAAGATTGTAGCATTTATTTGCTATATAATAAAACGTTTATCTTATATTTTATGCTGCAATGTGGTTAAAAATTATCATATTAAATAAAACATTTCCTGTGAAATATTTTTATTTCACATCTCATATCACATGAAAGTTTCACTTCTACCGCGTGTAAACTGCACGCATATTTTTAACGTGGATTTATAGAGGCCATCAAGATTAGAATTCATCAGCAATTCGTAGAGTCCAATTCACGTAGTAATCACTAGCTTTAATACATTACTAAAAATTTTGTTATGTAAATACAAATATATATATATATTAATTGTATTTACACATTAGAACTATCCTTAACCGACGAGCATGTATGCGTAGATATATGGATGTAAAGGAGGCGAAAGAGGTATGTCAGGATCGTGCCAAATGGAAATCCGTAGTCTCTGCCTACCCCTCTGGGTGACAGGCGTGAGTGTTTATGTTATGTATTTACTCAGATATAGACCGTAATCAAACTTAAATAGAACAAACCAATGGAGATTAAGTTATATTTAAATTCCATTTCAGTAGGAGAAACTAAATCTTTCTTTTTCATTTATATTCTTCTATTCTCATGCCATTAATCCCATATTCACATACATCCGTTTAAACTTTATTAGACAAATTATGATGTTACTTATAAACAACAATTATTGATTTGAGTCGTGACGTAAGTTTTGTCTCTTAATGATTCTTGCCGCAAGTGGCTTGGTCAAGAGCAGCCGTTGATCATTTTATTCATTGTAAGTATATAGTTGCTCCAGACGACAGTTTATATTAACCTGTCTCGCGTAAGCTTTAAAAATTTGCAGAACGTAGGTTAAGTTGTGTAAATTTTACAACAAAGTAGATTTTTTTTAGTATTATAATATTTTAGTTGCGATAAATTACTGTTCATCACTCGTGCTTCAGATGAAATGATTGAATGTAAGTGTTTATTATCATTAGTAAAAAATGAACAATTCAGTAAGTTTGTTATTTGTTTAAGATAATAAATAGTAACAAGTTAACATGTTCAAAAATTAGTAAATGCTATAAGATACACAAAACTATACGATAATTTATTATAATTTTTTACAACATTATTTTTACATTACAAATTTTATAAAATAACATTTCAAAAATTAATCTTGAGTACAAGCAATAAAATTCTCGCTATATAATATGATAGTCAAATTGCCTGCGTCATCAAATTTTATCTCATCTGTAGCCAAATAAACGCTGCGCTGGCTAACAAGAAATTTTCTGTTTTTTTTTTTTAATTATCTTTGTTTATTAACGTTACAATAGCTTGTTTAAGTTTCCTGTACAGAATGATTTGACGGATTAGGTGGAATATTAAATTATGTCTTTAAGATTTCTGCAATATTTTAGCTTCTGATAAGTTTTACTAAATCAAACTCTGTACTTTACCTAAAAAAAGTACAACAACAGCTGCCTTTTTAATCACTTCTGACGTATACAGTCCGGTTGTTTCTTTATTAATTTTACTCATAAATTAGTATTAAACTTAACAAAAATCTCTCAACCGCACGAGGAGGAATATCCAATAGTTTAATTTAGTGGGCTGATAAAGATGCAAAATAATAAAATATATAAAATCTAATCGACGACGTCTATAACATATATTCTTCTACTCATGATTTGAATACCATTAATTATAAACAATTTCACAAATAAAATGTACACAGCTTTTAAAAATTGTTTTAACATTAAATAACGCTGATACATTATTGTGTTACTCCAATTTCTGAAATAATGGCGTTGCAAAAATTTCTTTCTAGATCAAAATTCATAAAAAATACTGCAAAACATACTTACGCAATGCATCAACAGGAGGAAGTAAAAACGTAAGTAAGTACCGACCACCTTTAATTAAACGTAAGTACCGACACCTTTATTTGAACAAAGACTATTTTTGGTATCGTTCATATCTTTATAAGAATGATAATTACATGTGTTCCTCTATTGTGATAAATCAATGACTTATGTTCGTTCGAACACGACAGCTTATTAGTCAGAAGAGCAAGTAGAGGGAACGCGTGCGATATGCAGTCCATGTTGTGAGAGTTACTTCCTAATATTTCTTGAAACTTAAGAAGAAATAAAGTGCTTAAGAAAAAACTTATTTTACAGATCACAAGAATCGACCCGTAATGCCAATGTTCAAAAAGATTTAATACAGAATGATCACGTGAAGAAAAAAAATTGGCGTACAACTATCAAAATAGATTTTGTGCACTATTTGACGCTTGGTATTATTGGTGAGTAGCATTTATTATTCTACTTATTATTAGGTTTCCAAAATTATAAGGTTTCCAAAAAACTATTATCTTACGTACAATATTCTAATTGATTATTTCAATACCGAAAACGAATGAAAAACATTCTGCTTCGTTTTAATAAAATTACAAACAACGTATAATAAATATGTGTCCACAAGCACACGCATTCACAATCATATCCATAGTCCATATCAGTGAGCACAAAACCACCCATCTAAATTTTAAGTTTATTGTAATATTGTACTTAGTACGCAAAAGTTTTTAGTACTTAATACTTGGAAAATCTTTAAAAATTCACTCCTTCTGAAATTTAATTCAAAACAGTTCTAAACATTTTTATATTTTACATTTGCTTATGTAAATAAGCTAATGTAAATGTTAAAATAAGCTCATGTAAATGAGCTTATTTTAACACCAATTTCCATCATTTTTGTTTTCTTAGGAGCAGTTTATTTTAATAACTTTTTCATGATTGTAAACTGTTATTTTACTTAATGATTTCTTATATTTACGCGAACATTGCACATGATTAAAACTACTTTTACGGATTTTATCGCGTTTATTTTTACTTTTATTTTTTAATTCCCGACGTTTCGGGCGCTTTCCAGCACCCATGGTCACGGGGGACTGAGATGACTGACGTCCCGATGTCATTGTTAAACCCGGAGTACCTTCAGCTTTTTTAATTATTGTTTATGGTCCGACCTATGCAAAATGAACTGACTATGTCCTGAGGTCTTGCAGTGGTATGCTTGGGTTTAGTTTTAATTTTATTGATTATAGGATCCCAAGCAGGTGGTAGTACCCAGCCTCCTTTTCTATTGAAATTAGGATGTTTTTTAATTTCAATAGCCTCACGTATCATCCTTGGTAGGAATCGGTGTTCTTTCGCGAGGATTTGTGGTCTATCAAATCTGATGTAATGGTTGGGGCCGTCTAGGATATGATCACAAACTTGTGTAAAAGTAGTTTTAATCATGTTATTTTATTTTTCAAAAAAAAAATCCCGCTGGGTTTCTTGCTGGTTCTTCCCAGGACAGAGGTTTTTTCCAAACCAAAAAATAGTGAAATTCAATAAGTTTTATTTATAATCTATATTGTATATAAAAGCATCTGTTTCTGTTTTACGCATGATGTCGTCATTGATTAGGCTAAAAAGTTGGCTGTCTTTTCGTTTTAAGCATAGAAAAAGTCATACCAGCTCATAAATCGTAAATTGATATTATAATACAAGCATTAATTACGCTACGCTATATTTTATTTGGATAACAACCTATCAAACCGAACCTCGAAACTATCAAAATAATCCATATGATAGAACAGAATATCACTGATGCAGAATGAAGAAGGTAGGCGATAGCACGCAATCTTGTGTAGCAACAGCATTAACAGATTTGGAGTTAGAACATGCACCATACTGACCCAAAATAGACATTTACGATTAAGAATCTAAATGCAGTTGCGTTATCAACCCTGAGTACTAAGATGAAATGCCTCGTTTCCAGTTAAAGGTCTCCGGTTCTCTACACTCACTATACGTACATTATAGTGGCAACTTTGCGCTGGTATTCCGTGAGAGCATGATCCTTCTTCAATTGAACTGACCCAATCGTTCGCCAACCATAATACAGCTACAAAATGGCTCTAGCACGAACTTTCGTCATGCCCACATAACTTGTCGATATCTTGGAAGAGGAGTGATTTGCGTACTGTGCACACTGTGAACCGCACATCTGACATGAATCACGAGTTCAGCAGCTCACTAACATTATATTCTATGCAGATGATACTTTACTGATATTCAAATATACCTGAAAACCTTAGACCGACAGTACAATAAACAGTGCTATTGATAAGGTATTAAATTGATTCCACGCGAATAATTTTAAGTTTGAAACTGGGGCACTCCCCATAAAGAGACTCGTTTTTGACGCATCGTTATACCATATGAGGCTATCGACCTCACAGATAACCTAGCCATTCAGCCAGCTTCTCTGAAGGTATTCTGGTCTTTCTGGTGATCTTCTCTAGTTCTACTATATACTTTTTATTAAAAGTGTATAGTGGACGCATGATATCTGAGATCATGCATAAAACCGTTGTTTCCTTAATTAAGTCGAGCATGGATATCAATCTATAGGAAAGCAAGCTCAAACCGCCAAGATCAAGGGGCGTTAGGTGTAGAAGTGCATTAAAGGCCACTCCAAGTGATGATCACATCGCTCCAATTGCCGTTATGCAAGCAGTCCTTTGTAGACTATTTAGTCTGTCCGCAATCGTCTTTTGGTTGCCCTTATTGCACCAGATAAAGGAGGCGTAGATGAGAATCAGCCTCGCTATACTACTGTACAGCCATATGATCATACTGAGACGCAAGCCCCAGTTGTTCCCGGCCAAATGACCGCACGTACCTAAAGCAATTTTTGTCTTATGGCATACGTTGCTAACGTGAGAGTTCCACGTTAGTCTTTGGCTGATTGTTACCCCCAAGTATTTAGCTTTAGTGCTATTTTCCATTCAGTTTTGGTGTGACAAATTTTTCCAACCGTCTCTCTTTATGTTATAACAGTTTGATCAGCATTAACCGATAAACTGTTAACCTTACACCAGTTATTTATGGTATTAAGGGCTCTTTGTATGATTAACGATAAAGTACGTTGGCAAAAACCTCTCACAATGATCACAAGATCATCAGCATAACCTACACCAGGTTAATGCAAAGGTCTGCAAATGTGAAAATAAAGGTCTTATAAAGGTACAATAGTTGGTCAACTGCAAGAGTCCAAAGAAGGGGTGACAAAACACCTTCTTGTGGGCAGCCTTTTGTAGTTACAACCTCAATCGAAGTTTGAAACAGCGCTATTTTTGCTTTTCTGTTTGAGGGTATCGACTTCACCCACCTGATATTTGTGAGGTTAACATTTTTAGATGTCAGGCCCCCAATCACCAGTGATGTGAGGTTACTGTCGAAGGTGCTCTCATTATCTAGAAAGGCACAAAGAGCTTTCTCTTTATCCTCCCGTGCTTTTTCGACCCTCTCAATAACACTGAATAGGGCTGTTTCCGTAGATTTGCCTCTGTGGTAAGTATGCTGGTTGTAATGTGTGTATATATATCTGTCTATAACCTTTTCCACAGTCTTAAGAAGAAACTAAGATAGGCTTATAGGTCTTAAAGACTTTAGTAAAGCGTAGTCCTTTCTACCAGTCTAAGGTATAAATAGAACCTTGACAATTGTCCATCATTCTGAAATATATCCCCATACAAACTTGCTCTGAAGATTTTCACCAGATAAGAAGGATATCAATACCCCTCTGTAGTTGGATGGGAAATATTCCATCCTCCCCGCTTGTCTTTTATAGCTTAAAAGAGTCAACAGCCCACTGCACCAGATTTGGCCTTATTGTCTTTTCAGCCCTACATCAGTCCACATTACAAGGCCTTCGTAGGGCTCTAAAAGAATTCTAGACAAAAGTCTTATGTGACCCTGAGAAATGGGTTGACGCTAGTAACTCTTTTGTTCGTTTCTGTTTTACTAGTATTGAAGTTACCATCAGCCTTTTTAAGAAGCCCGATCTGATTAGGTATAGCTTTCGATAGCACGTTGTGTAGTCTTACACTGCGAGGCTCAACTGCCTCGCATAGCTTCCTCCACGATGCTCTCTTGACTTTCCTAACTTCTTTATTATATTCAGTTAGGGCTGCACTATAAATTATCCCACTCTTTGTTTTTTTTAGTCCTATTGAATAGCTCCCTGGTCTTTTCCCTAAGCTCTTTTAGCTTAGTATTCCACCAAGGAACTTTTCGTATTGAATTCTTGGTTTTGACGGGACAGCTGTCCTCGAAGTCTTCACGGGTACCTACGGTTATTGTCTCCGTCGCTAACTCTTTGAATTGTTTTGATGCTTTTAGGAAACGTTTCCAAAGTCCTCCTTATTATATATCTGTAGACATCCCGGCAGAGTTTCATAAGTTGGTGATGCTCTAATCACAAACTTAATGTGTTTGTGATCAGACATCTAGTTTTCACTACTAACATGCAAGTCAGTTATGCCTCCGCCTGGATATGTTATTGGTAGCAAAGGTTATGTCTAATACTTCTTGCCTAGCACACGTTACAAAAGTAGTGTACATCCTAAGTTTAGGCTTAACAGGCGATTGGAAATGAGAAAGTCATGAAGTAACTCACCTCTGTCGTTGATGTTAGTGCTTTCCCAGGCTGTGTCGTGAGCATTAGCATCAGAGCCTACCACAAGTTCGGCGTTGCGTTTTCGGGCGAACTCTGCAAGTCGCTCTAACTCGATGGTAGGATCTGAGTTCCCTTCGGGAAGATAGGCTGCGCAAATTATTACTCTGGCCCCTGTGCATGCTTTGAGATTTATGAAGGCTGTAACCAGGTCATCGTTGCAGTACTCTGGATCGGCTAAAAGTTCAATGTTATTATTGTAAATTATACAAGCTCTAGATCTACTACCTTTGGTACTGAATAGAATCTTACAGGCGGCTGACAATCCCAGAACTTGACCGTTGGTCACTCAAGGTTCTTGTATGAGGGCATGATCGATATTGTCCTCTGCAAATCAAACCTCCACCACGGCAGAAGTAGCAGCTGCATGGTGAAGATTTGCCTGGAGGACCCTCGTTTTACCCTTGAGGTTAGTCATTTTATAGACGTGATTGGGCAGAGGTGGTTTTCACCTGCTAAGGACAAAGACGTCAATTACTGGCTCTCTTGACGCTCGCCTTACTTTTCACACCGCTCCCACCTCTCTTATCCTTACGACTGACCGACACCAGACGAGGCCCTAGGACCGAGGCGTGATCAATGGAGGGATTTTATCGTAGTTGCCACGCTTGGTAAGCGGATTGGCGCCCGAGGTTCTTTATTATTTTAAGTAGTTATCAGTAAGTTGCTGCTGCCCATGTCCTGTTAAATTTTCCCTATGTCGCCCCCAGGAAGATATGGAGTGTGGATATT